TTAATACAAATAACTATAATAATAATAATAATAATAATAATAATAATAATAATAATAATAAAGTTAGTGATGATGAAAGTAATATGACGATAGCAAATATTATTATTATTATTATTATTATTATTATTATTATTATTATTTTAACTGTTTTAGGGTCAGTATTAAAAAAAGCATTATTATTTTATATATCATTAAATATAAACTTTTTTAAACCATTATTATTAGTATGCTGTCATCATGCTGAACATCAATGAAATTAGTTTTTATAAATAAAATTATTATGTATAAAATGTTGTTAATGTATTCTGCTTTAAAAATAATAACACATATCATTAATTATGTAATCAAGTATTATTACAACAATAATCACCTAGGAATCACAAAATGGGAGGGTGAATAATTTTGACTTTAACTGTGTATCCAACTGCATGCTTTTTTATTTATTATTATTTTCTTTAATAATATTATTATCTCTCTTTCCAGCACATAGTCTGCACCATGGGCCTGAAGTGGTACCCTCATCCAGAGGTCCTGCACTGCATAAAGGGATGTGAGGTAAGAAATCAGCATTTTATCCTCTCAAATGCCTCTCTATCCTGTGTCTTTCCTCCCTCATTGGCGACACTCTTGCCTTGACCTCCATTTGCAGAGGCCCAAGAAGATTTATGAAGATGAAGATGTAGAGGAACTCTACATTAAAGTCAGTACATGTGCTAGTGACTGTGATGTACAGTGCTCTCTGTGTCTTTCTGTTTTCCTTCCCCCCTGTGCTTGTCCATTTTTGTCTCTTGGTACAGTCCGTTTACAGACTGGCATCAGTACAAATGTTCATTCTCATCTGCAAATGCAAATAAATGCAATTTTTTTTTTGTTTAAAATTAATAAATGTGTCATTTGGAGAGGAGATAATTAGATTAGGAGCTTATTAACAGATTTTAAAAATAAAAATCGGATTTGAGATGCTGAACACACGGTAAAATATATTTGCAAATTAGCAGTTTTCTGTATTTTTTCTATGCTTTTGAATTGCATTATGGGATCTTGATCATTCTTTCAACAACTTTTAACCTTGAAAAGTTTGAAAAAGGGATTGTTATGAACATGTTTAATAGTTTGCAGTACTATATTGTCTGGGTTTGTGTTGTATATTATGCTACAAACACCTTGTAATAAACTGCCAGTACATTTTCTGTTATTGTACACACTTATCTCTCTCTCTATTATTATTTCTTATACAGTATATTATTAAAATGTTAGTACCAAAGTCACCTTGTTAAACTGTAGATTTGAATTTTGTAAGAAACGATTATTATTATTATTATTATTAGTGTCTATTTTTTGTACATATATAATATTATTGTTATTATTATTGAATTTATTTTATTGTACATATT